AGGTCAAAGTAATTTTTTGATAGATTTTATAACCTTCTCATTATAAAAGATCAAAAAAAGTTACCAGTAGCACTTATTATATTGCCAAAATATTAATTTGTCATATTATCTAATCCGAGGAGGACTTTTTAAGAATTCCTTAATACGGAAACATCGCAAAAATTTTATGTTCTCGCAGCAGTCCTTAAAATTTTCCGAGAAATTCAATTTTTTAAAGGAATATTACACCTTGCGTTAGCTTTTTCAACTAAAGAATATTTGCTAAAAATATCTCCTTGAATATACTGTACTGTTGATATTGTTACGGTTTTTATAAGACAAAAACACTTATACTTCTGTTTGAAATAAGATATAAATTTATTTAGTTTAACCAATCAAAACATTTATTACAAATTATTATTTATGTGATATGTTTAAATGGAATAAAATATGCTACATATTAAGTTACGAAACAGTTTATGATTTTTATTTTAATGTTTAAAATCGTTAATGTTCTAAGGTCCAAGTAACTTTTTGTTTGTAAAAAGTATTCATAAATTTATAAAAAGAGATGGTTTGGATATAATACTAAAACTACTTCATCATATATAGTATGACTTCAATTTCAACTTTGTTTTCAATAAAAAAAGTTATAATTCTTCAAAATAGTACATAATTTAGCATGAATAAAGAAACAAAAAACAAGATAAGGGTGATAAAAATACTTTTGTATAACATTTTAGGATTTTTTCTCAACAATTTTCTTTAGTAAGGTTTGTAAAAGTAAGAGGAATTGAGTTGAAAGCTTTTAGAAATATCCTTCCGCGTCATCATTTTTGTGCCTCGTCTGTTCGAGATGTTTTAGGAAAGCGAAAATATAAAATCTCTATTAACGACGGTATTGAAAAATTATACGATGACACAAATAAAGTATTTAAAGGAGAAGAAACTTTGCATAAATAAAAATATATTTTGTGACAATAACGTGGTTTCCCATTAGAAGATACAAAAGAAGCTTTTGAACTCTGTTGGCAATAATACTATGCTAGCCGTTATGACGGAAGCGCTATTACTTTATATATTTTAAAATCATTATTTCAAAGAATGAGATCTAAGATTTTCGCGAGTTCTCATTTAAATGAAACTAATATTTTCGGATTTACTACGCGTTTTTTATTTTTGACTATAAACTACATACTCCCGACGTTTCGGCTACTTTACAGCAACCGTGATCACGGACAGACGAGATTATTCCTAATATTTGAAGATTTTAATAAATCATCGAAAGTAGGAAACGTTGTTGTTGTTGTATTCATGAAGTTCTCGTATTGTTTAATAAACATTAATCTTTTCTATAATTACTGTATATGTATACACCAAAACTTAATTTGCAAATAAGCGCCACCCTGAGTGTATGATGGTATTAGAAGCAATTTATCTTTAATATGTAATTAAAGTAAAAAAATAAAGACAATTTTACTTGTTAGTGTTGCTAAAGTTATTATGAAAAACATTTTAAACACACGTCTAAGAAAGCAATATCAATTGTTGATCTAGATAAATCTCAAAATTTTATTTGAATCGATTAGTGAGAATTATCTGAGAATTTTTCATATTCTACACTATTCTATAACTTACAAAACATACTCGTTCAATGTTCAAGAACAGTTTCCATTGTATTAGCATTTTTATAGATACTAACATGGCCCTCACTTTAATATTGTAACATATGGTAACAATGTTGAATCGTTGTTATATAAAAGAAAGGAAATAGGTACAAACAATTGCTATTTTCAAATAACAAATACAAACAATTGCTATTTCAAATAAATATAACACAGTGGACATTTTTTAAAACACATTTTATATTTATAAACAATAATATATTTATTTAAACTTCAAATTTAATGAAGTGGCAAAATTCCACATTAACATCACTAGCTCCACTACAAAGTGACAATCATTTAAAACAAAAAATAAATATAGGTCAAACAAATCAATTCAAAGTCTTTGTAACTACACTTTATCATCTTAGATACAGTTTATATAATCTGGGATCGATAAGTAGTTATATAGAAATTCATAACGATAGTTGAACTCACTGAGTTATGTACTATTACTGTTTGCAAGTGACAAGTTTGTACTGTTATACTCGATACTGATATTACTAAAGTTATTTAAATATTTTCAATAGAATATCCTCAATTTAATGTAAGTAATCCAATATTAAGAAGCTGATTATAATAAAAAAGTTAACGTTAAATTAAGAAATAATAAACCACCCAAGGTATTGCTTTTCCCCCTTTTACGAAGTACATATTTATAATACATATATCAATCTATCTACGTTTTCGAATATTCCTTTTAAGTTTATTTAATGGGTGGCGTTGGCATTATAATATCATTTCATGTTTGTATTTTTAAATTTATCAGACCGTAGTAGTTAGTACTGTCTTTCATTAGAATAATACAAATGCATAAAGATACGTATAGTCAAATATACTAACGAGTGCCGAGTTTAGTCAAGCTGGAGCAAAAGTCTCTCCTCGTATAAAGAGTGATGTCTGATAGATTGTGATTAATGATCCGCAAAACTTGTGGCAAACTATTCATCAATGTTTCAATTTCTTAAGCGATCGACCCCTACACTTTATGCAATTGGAATTTTTCTACTACTTTGATGTCCGCTAAAAGTTTGGCAATTACTTAAGTTGGAATAAGACAAAAAGTACAAATATAGTCCTTAAAATGTTATATGTTTCAGATAAGTTGTATATTATTATTTTCGTAAATTATGTATTTTTGAGAAAGTATTTACTTCATTGTATAGATTATATTGCTATGTGAAGGGTTAGTTTAATGTGTTCCGAGTTTTAATAAATTCATATGGACATATTATTGCTTATTTATAACTTTTGATATAAGTTTCTGTTTGTTTTATTGCACATTCAGTCCTTTTTTTATTCATCATTAATATTTTTAAGAATCTGGAAATGAAGTAAGGAAAATAAAATGAAAAAATATCGTCTATTTTCCTGTTTTTTCACTAATTCGTCTGCGTTTCTTGAAACTAATCGCGAATTAAGGTTTAGAGATGAATAAAGTATGTTTACTTAAAAATATATATATGTTGATTTGCCTTCAGTTTCATTTATAAACTGTGCCTCATAACTTTATAAGAATACTGTTATAACATTTTCAATAATTGTGGGATATATGTATCTGTAACTTGAAATATGAGTAGGTACACTACTTTTATTTTGCACGTTTTGAAATAGTAAAAATATTACTTGTTTTAATAGAAATATGTTACAATAGAAAATATAAAACACTTTTAGTAATCACAAGTCAGTAATCTTACTCAAATTTAAAAAGTAGACTGCAACATACGACGTTAAACTAAACTATAAAAATGCTAATGCAATGGATATGTTTCGTGCTCAAGAAAGTTAACTTAATAGGATAGTATATGAAGGGTCGAGTTTAGTTTGTGATTATTTATTTCAATTTAAAATCTCAATAAACAATTTTATCTAAATTTAATTGTATTAAAAAAAATAAGTCACTTCATTACATATAAAATATTTAGATAGTGTTTCGTAAATGCATGTTATTTTATATCATAAATAAAATTTTGAATAAAAAAATAAACTTTTACTCTAAATTACATATTTTTTCGTATCGTAACTAAACATGTTAGATTTAATTAGCTTGCTACAATCTATTAACTATTATAGCAGATTTATATAAATTGAAACGACTACGCAAGTTATATGTCTTGTTGGAAATTGATTTTCTAGATAGAACTTACATATATATATAAAATAATTAATATTGTCTTGTTACATAATGATATGTAGATTATATTTTTAGAATATATGTGCACTTAAAATCTTGCACCAAAAACGGATGTTGATAAATAGATATATAACAAATATATTTCTTTTCCATAAAATTTATATTTTCCCCTATAGAATCTTTTATAAGGATTTTCATTTAAAAACGTAATTATCAGTAGGCACATCACTACTCGCTTATGAATGTGTGAAACGCAATCATATAATACTATCGACTTATGTAGAAACAATGTTTTAATTTTTTTGTTAAAAGTAAATATTTTGTGTCGGTAAACCTTGCAATACACAATTACAAAATAGTAATTTAATTCTTTACTTCGTGAGCCATCCTCGTTTTTTTTTTTATTTGAACGAATTTTACTACCAAATCGATTACTTCATTTAAATTAGTCGATTGTGTTATTATTGTGAATTTTAAAGATTTTTTCTAAATATCAATAGCCATAATTACCTATATAGTTTTTTTTGATATGTACATGCTATAAAAACATAAGAAAAATCCGGTGATAACTAATGTTTCGTAAGTTAGTTAATTATCAATGTTGGGCCTGTAATAGAACAGATAACAATCTCAACATTAAATCTAATTAACCTTCCATTGTTTATTTTATGTGGAAATTATTTAGTGATGATTGTATGTTGCTAGAAAAAAAATGTTATTCTTATGCCAACTCATAATAACTTCAAGAATAATAATTATTAAAAATAATATCAAACATGTTTAATCATACATATTTGATTACTCTTCGTCATTAAAACAGCTGTGTATGTTGAAGCGTTTTGAAATGTCAAGGGACAAGGAAATCTATCACGATGATAATATTGATGACGTCCTGCAGCTTGTGTGCCCACTTAATTTAGATTTCGTTTGAGTAAGGGAAAACAATACAAGTAGATTACACAATAGTAGATTTTAAACTTTCACTAGGTGGTTGCATTGTTTCCGGAAAGACGTCTCAGGCCTTTGTTTTAAAATAAAAATGTAAAAAAATCAAACGTTCATAGTGTGTAACGCAACTCACTACAAACACTTCTACAAAAAATGTAATTAAACATAATATATAAGCTCTTGATGCAAATAAATTGTAGGCGAGGTTAAATCCATATTGAGAACTATTTTCGTATACTGCTTGATTCATTGACCTTTCTTTGAAATGAAGGGAATTACATGTTCCATACTGACTCGCCAGGAGGAGCAGGCAGATTATGTGCAGCTGATGAGGCGGTGTGGTAATCATACCCCCTCAGACTCCACGGTGGTCTCCTTCGGCAGTACATGGAAGCCCTGGGAGCTCTGATGAGGTATTCGGAGTTCTTCTGTGTCAGGAGCCAGATCTTAGAACACTTGGTGGATTTTTTCCTATCCACCCTTCCAGTAAAACAGCAGTATTGAATCCACACTGAGTTTTGAGGCCCATATGTGACATTATGGAGATTCCTCTCTTTCGATTCGACTTAGATACCTACTGAAACACCCAGTTCTCTAAAGTATTAGTGTTAACCTGTGGGTATCGCCACTTTTCAACCCGTACCATGTTTCGAAATTTAAGGCACGCTGTTGAACTCTCTACCTTGGTATTCCAAGCACCTGGAATACTAAAGAGGAACGCTGAAAATTTTCAGCTTATTATTAGCTTTTGCCACCATAATAGAAATTAGGCTGGATAACCCTAAATTAAATTAATAATAATTAAGTTTGCTCATTGATATCTATTGATAAAACTTAACTTTTTTATTTTCTTAAGTTCATTAACATACAAACAGGTATATGGAGAGCACTTTATAAGCAATAAAACCTTTATGCCAACATTTCGTTCTGCTTCGCATCATACAAGTTTATATATTCATTCAAACTGTCAGTGAGTTATAATACATTATTGTTAACAATACTTATTTCTACTTCGAATTATAATCGTTTTAACTAGCAACACAGTGCCAGTTTAACTATCTATACACCAAGTAAGAGCTAAAGGGGACCTAAATTCTTTAAAAATACTAGTTATCTATTCCAGCTTAAAAGATGTAGTAAACCATTTTTGTTTATTTAGTTTTAACATTTATTTTTTTTTGGACACTAAAGAAGTAGACGTAGACTCCAAAACAGTATAAGAGTTTAGAAAAGCTTAAAACAATCGTAAAATTCTATAAGAATGTTTATACACCATCAATGAAATGCCTCATATGTCACATGTGTGCCATACATATGTATATCGAGATGTGAGACAGATGACAGGAAAATTACATTGTGAAAGAGTTTGCTGCGAAATACCATGATAGTACCATCGAAATACCATCATAGTAAAGAACTATTTGTCATATTTAAAGTTTCGTGAATATGTTGTCAACTTTTTTTGGTATTTTGGATTATAGAATCAGGTTTTAGATAAAATTGATGTGTCATATATATAATCAATTTATTTCCTTTGACTTTGTTTGTTGAATTTTCGTCTTTAATCTACGGCTAATAAATATAATTTTAAATAAGAACAGTGCGTGCGTATAGTAAGAAAATGAAATTATAATATGAACTCCAACAAAATATTAAATGAGCAAATAAATGTTGTAAACTAAATAACAATTATTTTACCAAGCAATTAATATTAATATTTGTGAAACAGTCAATCTTCTGTAAGATATATATCACATATTGAGGTTTTAATTTCATTAACTTCTTTTCATGCGTGTTTTATCCGAATTACTAACAACTGTCAAAATATTATCATCAGTATAAATGAAATTAATATTTTTTAGATTATACTACGCGTATTTTATTATTTTAAAAACTACATACTCCCGACGTTTTTGTTAGTTTTCAGCAAACGTAATCACGGGCACATTTCTTTTCACGTGTCAACTGCCCGTGGTCAGGCTTGCTGAATAGTAATTTTAAAAACCTCTCATACAATTCGTTTCTTAATGAACTCAGTTGAATAAGAATTAATTAATAATAATCAAATTATTTCTGTACTGGTTACATATATATTTTATCAAAACCATATCACTCATTTAAAATATTTTTTAATTCTGTGATAAAAAAGGGGGGCTAGATATAAAAACATAATAATATATAAATATGAAAGTGTAAACCTTCTTCATTTATTATATTATGCGTGAGCATTATCATTATTAAGGATGTTTCGTTGATAAGAATATCATTTTGTTAATTGTATAAGAATATATATATAGGTTGACATTATATGTATATGCTTATGGTAGTTTAACTGAATTCATTTTAGAAGGTTTCTTTGTGGCATTAGCCGTGTTTTAGTTTTATAATATTTTCGGGCAGTTGGTTTTAATATTAATACGTTATCATTATGTTAATACAACAGTATTTAAATTCTGAACCCGTAATAAAGTAGAATGAAAAAATATATTTGAAAATTAATTGCAATTGAAAAAGTTGTTTAAAAATGTTATATTATATGGAACTTACATATTCAATATTAAGGTCATGTCGATTAATATTACAGCTTTTTTTATTTCCGTTTTTTATCCAACTTTTGTTACTATTATGAGAACAATTAACTTTAAAAAAAGTCTATATAGCCACACATATGTACACACATTCTAAATTCAAATATATACTTACAAATGTTTATTATATCAAGTTGAACACACTTCTATGGAAACATGGTTTTAGCTAGAAATATTTCTAAATATGAAAAGTGTCTCTTTAAATTATTTATGGCAAATAGCAAAAACTAGCTACGGCATCGGTTGATTGTACCCCGTATACTGTTATTTTTCTTACACTAGAAATACCATATAACCAAAAACGATTATAAAACACCTAAAGATAAACATTTTACAGTGAAAATTCCCCATTTCCATTGTGAAAGCAGATCCAACGGCTTCATTTTTTTCAAAAGGAAGCAACATCAAATTCACGTATAATTGATGAAAATTCCTTTTTACTCTAAATATCTTATTTATGCCATAATGTGATTTTACAATACATACGATTTTTTTTTCTTCCACGTCTTCAAACAAACAAAGGAAGAAATTAAAAAAGGAAATAATATTTCTAAAAGCTTTCTCGTTTATATGTTCAATTTCTCTCACTTTAACAAATGTTACCAAAGAAATTGTTAAGAAAATTGTTTCACAAGATTTTTGGTGTCAGCATTATTATCTCCCGATCTTGTTTTTGTTTAGGAATCATTTACAGTTAGTTGGATTTAATACAAAGATAGAAATAATTTTTCCATTTCTTTTTAGTAGGTATATTAAGGTTGGAAAAATATTGCTACTATTTATAGGTTATCTTGTATTGCATTTTAATATTATTAGTTTTTACTTATGAAATTAAAAAAAATATAATATATTAAAAGCTAATAAAAAACACTCCTAATCTAAATCGCCAAATTCAAATCTTATGGTTTATTTATTAGAGAAGACAATTATAAGAAAATTGTTTAAATACAATATATTAAACTGAATCAAATATTATCCTTACATTTCTTATTGGTGTAGTTCCAGAGTGTGCCTCGAGTAAGCTAGTTTATAAATTACACTTGGACCCTCTTTAATGACGGAAACTTTACACCGAACCCTTTTAACTGTAGTATGTAGTTAGAATCAAAGGAAAGTGTTCCTTAGAACTTCCGACCTTGGGAAATTTCAAAGACAAACTACTACGAGAATATGAAACTTTTTATGATGTTTGGCTACAAATTCAATAGTTATGTAATCAAGATATTAAGATAAATTGGAATTAATACATTAGCCCTTTTTGGTATAGTTTATAAAGTTTATTCAGTTATACCAATACCAAAATAATGTAGTGGAAATGTTTTGAAAGTAGAATTTCTCTAAAACAATTAACGACTTAAAATTACGATTAACTTAAAATGAATTTGTCAAATGAACATTATAAATATTAAGTTAAAGCCCTTAACAAAATATCAGATCATTGTTACGTTATATTATTTTTATTATATTTTTTTTATACTTGATTAACTGTTATAAATTGGATTTGACTATTTACTAATTTTTTTTTTATTAAACAGATTTTTTTATACCGTTTTCAATAATGTGACTTCTTCCGCAACTAAGATTTCTCTGGACTCAACTAAAATTTCTTTGCTAATCATTAAGCGCTGCAGTGCTCATGAAAAAATTGTAAGTTTAAAAACATTGTATGTTAAAGCACAAATTGCTTATTAGAAAAATCACGTTCTTGTATTTATTCATACGTAAAATATATTAAAATACATTATATGGTATGTGACTATATCCTGAATTTATAATATAACATTTGGATGACCGCAGACCGTGAATTGGATTCAAACCTCAGAATAAAGTCAATCTTATCATTTTTGCAACCAAAAATTTGATGGTTACTATAAAAATATATTTGTTGTTAAAAATGCGTAATAAAATGGAAAGCAGCCATGTAAGTATCTCATATGATAATATTTAAAGAAAAATAAATCTTAATTAAAAAAGGCTATCCCTTACGATAAAGTGGGTTTTAGAATTGTCGATATACTTTAGCTCTGATGAGATAATAAACGTTCCATTCCACACGAGATATGTAACCTGGATCGTGCTTTATGTATCCATTTTGATATGATAAAATGTTTTAAAATATATTGGAGCTAAATCATGATTCCAAATATATTTTTGTTTGTTTTTACTTTAATCAGTATTTATGGATAGGCTACGTACATATTTTAATATCGTGGCTGCAGTATTAGGTCCTCATTTATTTAACGGTTTTTTAATTGCAGCTGCTACATTGATAATTTTACACATTTATTAAATGTCCAGAGCTTTAAATAATATCATTCAAAACCTTTATAACAGTTTTAGTCAAATATAGCATCGAGTGCCAACATTGGTCAGGCTGAAACCATATTCAGTACTAGTGTAAATAGGGATGTCTGATGGATTGTTATTAATGATCTCCAAATTTAGTGGCAAACTATTCATCAATGTTTCAATGTCTTAACCAAACGACTTATATAATTTGTTCAAAAAAAATATTCTATTGACCTTAAGACATATGAAGAGTAATTAAACAAGTAGGCTTAAATTTCTTACATATTTTAGAAAAACTCAAAATTGATACCAAATAAAACTTTCTAAGTTAAACTTATTAAGATAATTTATAATTTTTGGATAAAACAGATTTTTTCGAAAAGAATTCCTCATACATTCTGCACTTATTTCAAATATTATTGCTTTAATATCAAATAATGCAGGTAAGCGTAAAATAAGAAGGAACTGCATTTATCATATATTTTTTTTATAACCAATTGCTTTAAGAACTTACATATAAACGACTTACTTTATAAGAGTAGTTAGAAACTTTAACTTACTCAAAATAACGCTTGACATTTTCTCTATTATTGCTTACTCCCAAAAGTAATTGGAGATCTTTTTATTTATTTCATATTGAATGTATTGAATGTCTTCGAAATTGATTTTATTACATAATTTTAAAATCTTCATAAATGTAAGCACAAAACTTTAGATTACATTTATACACTAAAGAAGTTCACCAATTATTATTGCGATTTTCAAGCGCCTATTATACCACAAAACGAAAATCCTTTCATCGCGTTTGCCCTTGATGATGTTTTCTGTAAAGTAATCGAAACGTCGGATAAAATGTAAATTGATATAATAAATCGCGTATTATATCCGAAAATCATAATTTCATTTAAATTTGAACTCATGAAAATCTTAGACATTATTAATTAAAGATGAACTTATTTAAATATGTATTAACTTTTAAAACACAATAATTAAAAGTTGTAATACAGAGGCCTTTGACGTGAAGGTTGATTTACAATAAGACGGCTAAGCCTCTAACCTCGACACCAGTGAGCTATCCCAACACGGTGGAAGTAGCCAACGGAAATCGAACTTACAAGAGTGATTTTCCTCGGTAGCTTTCAAAATACAGTCCCAACCAGGTGGAAGCAGTGTTCTTGCCACTATCGAGGTCCCTGTGACTCGATACATCCTCGGTAGCTTTCAAAATACAGTCCCAACCAGGTGGAAGCAGTATTCATGCCACTATCGAGGTCCCTGTTGTTTACACGAGTTACACTTTTCACTTATACAAAGGCGGTTATTATCTTATTTTTTAGTTCCTTGACACTTGTTGTCTCTTTGTTATAAACTAACGATTTAATTCGCCCCCAAAAAAACGTCGAGTGGCGTCAAATCAGCTGATCTAGGAGGTCAATGGACACGAGGGTAGGTATTTGATGTGTGCCGGCTGTCGCTGTGAGTGCGTAGATATTTGTAAAATACTATTTTAGCCTTGAAACAAGTATCAGTTTTCTTTAATTGAATCATGATTACTATTTTAATATTTCATTTTAAAAATCTTAATACTCTGACTTACGATCCATTTTCGTTTCAATAAAGTGTTTAGATAACTGTGTGTAGGATGACTTTAATTTACTTAGTTCTATCTAAATTTGAGAAAAAAATGACCTCATAAAAAACTATAAAAATCGATCCAGATACTGATTCTGAACAAACTACTTTCAGGGTGTGCGTTAATTATGTTACACGTTGTAGAGACACATGATACATTTTGTCAGATTACTGGAAAATTACGCTGTAGAAGAATTTGTAGATATGGTAGGAGATAGATGATGTTAAATGGTTGTAGGAAAGTGAAAAATTATAAATGTTAATAAATACATACATATAGTATGTAAAATGTCCATATTATAGTTGTTTAAAATCATACATTTTTATACATATGATGTGTAGCATACGATTGAACTTTACAATAAATAAGAACGTCATTATATTTACACCTTTACATCTTTTTTGCTAAAAGTAAATTCAATATTTGAAAGAGAATTACGTAATCGACTTTATTAGATACGCTTCACTTTTAAGTGGCTTGAAATATGTCTACCCGATTTCGTGTATAAAGGGATTTTGGGTTTGCAAAGAAGTATATATTTTTTTCTTTATAACGTTAACAGTTAGGCAAAATCAGACTGTGAAAAGGTTTACTAAAAGTCAATTTCCATAAAATTACGTCACTAATCTTTAAAGTGTATTTATGTGACAATACATAAAATCCTGACCATTGTTGTATATATATACTTTTAATGGTAAGAGCAACTTGGTAATCCATTTTTTTTAAATTCGTGTCAATGTTGCAAAAACCAATATTGTGTAAATATATAAAATAATAAAGTAAACTGACTGAGTTACTGACAATATTTCAATAGATTACAATCTTAATAATTTAATCTTCATGATATTCAAATTTAAAATAACAACAAACTTTAAAAAACAATAAAGTAGCATAAATGTTAAAACTGTGTTTAGGGATCGTTCACTTAAAAACAGTCCTTCAAACTAAAAAGTTGAATACCAAAAAAAAAATACTTACGCTGATATTTGGACACGCGACTGTGTATCTCCGCTAAGCGAAGTCGCTCGACTTTCCGCGATGGCGCGTTACTCCCCCCGCGCCGGCTTCATTAAACCACTATCGTTTGAAAGAATAATACTTCACTTGTTTTTAATATATTTGTGGTGGACCTTTTTACCCGCGGACCTTGAAGCCCCGCTCTACCCTAATCAGAAAACATTACTAATATTTTTTTTCTGCAAAAATAATCTTGTTGTTTCATTATTATATTGACAAACTAACCTATACTCTGTTATAGTTGACAGAGAAGGTAAAATTAATTACCATCACATACCAGGTATGACTGTCACAAGTTTGTGAAATATTTGGAACTTAACACGTACTTCAAATTCCATCCAAAGAGATATAAGAAAGGGTACTTACACCTATGTATATAAATAATTCCTATAAATTTTAAGTTTATCTTCAACTATTATAACGCTATGATTAATTTATTTTTTCGAGAAAGAATATAAAAAATATGAACTTAAGAAGTACATAATGCAATATCATTATTTTTGTAATATTTCGCTATAATTGTAGACACGAATTATTAGAATTGTATTGTGAAGAGTTGTTAAATTTTTATGTACAAACATTTTTTCAAGTTACGACCATACTGGCTTGCGTGAGGTATTGAATTGAGCAATTAGAGACTAAAATGCCTTACACTCATTGAGAAACAGTCGATAGTCTTATATTGCTCGACTGATATTAACCAAGCAAAGCTAAAAAGCACTACAAATAAACTGAAATACAAATGAAAAGAATTGAAATCGGTATAACAGTTTCATAACTACGATGCCAATAAACATTCTTTATTAATAAACCCAATTTGCAACAACTAAGCCTCTTTACGATAAAATAATAACTGCACTTGCAAAACAAACCGCATGTGAGTAGATCTGCAAACATATTTGTTAACTACACAAATAAAATCTTCACACTATGGAAAACGACAGCGTTGAAAGGGTTTATTTATATGGTTGAAAAACCAGCGACACGTCAAGGTATTATTCAAATTTAACAACTTAAAATCTGATAACGTAAGGCTATTAACTACCACCTTCTCTTTACCATCTGCTATGAATAAATTTAACTCAAAATACCTTTTTTTATGAAAGATATAAGAATCATCTATTAGCAATATTCCAAATATGATTCCAAGTCTAATATCTAAAATTTTATGACTCATAATTTCAAAGGAATATTACATACACTAAAATATTCACACAAAGATAGGTGTTCATTTGAATACCAACGGAAAAACGTTTTGGAATTTATTATTACAATTTACGTATACATTTACGAAGAAGAAATTAAAAATAAATATTTTTAGTAAATGTAGTATGTACTTGTTGAAACTTAAAAAACATGATAATTTTCTAAATTAAGTTTTATGGAAAACGACTAATATATTAATTTTATCATCATTTACTCCGCTTTTAATTTTATTGTAACTAATATATAATTTTCTAAAATATGTTGCTATATAAACAAGGAAAGATTTAAAACTAAGGACAAAATTATTCTTTTTATTTGGAAACTAGTTTTTGCCCGCGACTTCGTCCGCGTTAGTTTGGTCAAGAGTAATATATGTAGGTATAGCTGACCAGGCGAACTCTATTCCGTCGTAGAGGCCATAAATAATCAGGTTTTTCCTGTTTCAATCAAACAGACATATGTATTAGTTAGTTGTCAAATCTAATGTCAAAAAAAAACACGTTTGTATGGGAAATAGAAAAGGGCTGTTTTTAGGGTTTTCTCGGCAATTATTCCAATTTTTCTCACCTTTTAAACCTTCCCTGGACTTCCAGGAGTATTTCAAGACTAAAATTAGCCAAATTGGTTCAGCTGTTCTCGAGTTTTAGCGAGACTAAGGATCAGCAATCCATTTTTATATATATAGAAGATAAAATATCAAAGTAACGTAACGAATGACATTGTCTAAATTAATGTCTGCTTGATACTTTTATTTTGTTAATCGGTCTAAGAATTGAAGGCATCTAAATAAGTACACTTCAATCTATAGTAAGTAGAAAAAATAATTATTACGATCATTCTGAGCGAACTACTAACAAGATTATAATTATTTAGTATTCAGCCAAACCCAAACAAATATAATTAATCAATACACCCATTATTTATCAGGGTTGGAATCCAATTTCCAATCTGTCAATTCAAATGCAAACATTATGACCGACCCGAAAGCCAGACTGTTTTTAAACCTGTGCGACTGTCTTTTTAAATTCTATGCTCACACCTACATATTTTTATTTACATTCTTTCTCAAAGTTGCGAAAGAAAATTATATAAACTAAGAAAGATATGCTTGGAACAAATACTGTAACTATTCTAAATACTCAAATGCTCTTTATTCATTTGAATACACTCAATCATTTTAAACGAATTTCTTTCCTATGTTACGCTATTAAATTAAAAAGTATGTGGGATGACGTGGAATGAATGTTATGCAATGCAATAAGTTTTATAAAACGGTCTGCATATGCAATTCAAAGTAGCATACATCATTAAAAACTAATAGTAACACCAAACTTAAAAATTTTAAGTGTACATTTAAATTCTATTAGTATTTAATATTATTTCAGTCCTTTTACTTAGTAGTAGGTTATCTGTTTTAACGTTATAATTATTTATTATTACTATGATAGGTACTCTTCGCTATTTTAAAATCATTATATTTTATAATTATATCATTGAAGTATACTTAAAAATTGTTAATATTTTTATGCTTTCATTTTATTTTGTATTAAGTCTTTATTCACACATACTTTATAGAAAATGTTGCCCATATCAACCCTTATATTGCTTTCAAAATTAATGATCAAGATGTCACCTCTCAATCCAATTTTTGTTTGACATATAAAGGAAATACAATTTGGCATACATAAAATAAATTTGGGCTTACGGGGAAGTATTAGGTAAAGCCAAAGAGCGAGGAAGGAAAGAGGCGGATAAAAACAATTTGTATGATAAGTAAAAGACCTGGCGTGATTTCATTTTTCCATAATTTAAAATAAATCTTTTATCAACTTCAAATATTAAGTACTACATTAGGGATTTATCATTTTATATAACTTATGTACCTACTTTTAGTGAAATAATCATTGAAATAAGTCTTAAAAATTAAATTACGTGATCATTTAAATTACCGTTACAAGAAACAGTTCTATTATTAATCTTATTTATAGCAATTCAAAACGAAAGGAATTTAATTCAATTACAACAAAATCCAGCTTTTTTATTGTTAATTCTTTAATGTTTCTTCTTCTGTGATATTTTAATAGCTTCTGTTATCACTGTATCATGAATTTTAGGAATTTCTTAATTGTTGCCTAATTTTCGATGAAAAAACTGGGAAAAGGAAATTCCAACAGTGTTATGAGCAGTTCAAAAGCAATCTTTGTCGAATAGAATTGCTCTGTTTTGAAATTGTTTATATTCCTTTTAATTATTTATTTATTGTAAGATAAAAATTATTTTGTCTTTTTTTTCTTGTATATCTACTAGTCCTCTTCATCTATAGCCAGTAATCCATGGTTTTTTCGTTTTTATT